GTCTTCCCAAAAAAACAAGAAAAAAGAAAAGTTCCAAAAACTTTCAAAATTGGATTTCAGTTTCAGCGATATCGCCCTCGCTGATTTCAAACTGGCGACGAGATATCGCAAGATTTCGGTCAAGTCGCGGCGATATCGCTTGATCAGGTATGTCCTAAACACGGTCAGCAATCCGTCGCGCCGGACAGCTAGCATGACCTACATGCATGATCTGCCGGCATGCATAGAGCGTATGACAGTTGTTCTATTGCGCAAATCGCATCATTTTATCGGTATGGCCAGAGCCTTATACAATGAGCATGCGCTACTTACGGCGCACGTCGCTTACGCTGCGCAGTCTGGGTCAATCCTCTAATAACAAATCAGTTTCTTCAAAGGTAGTTTCTCGGCAAATAATGGCGCTAGTGTTTATGGTTTTTAAAAAAGCGGGCCACGAGTACTATCACAAGCGTGGTGTGGGTTCGAAACTATGTGAGGACTTTATATAGTGTCTCCCGCAGGACATCCTGATAGTGATCAAAAACTGTGGATCTAACACTTGGTTTTCTCTTAGGAGTCTTGATTTCCTCTCAAAACTGTTTGCACGTGTAACCATTCATTATATAGCAACATCGTCCTGCGGGGATCGATGGATGTCTAAGATGACCTTTAGGTTTTTTTGCATTTTCGGGTTTATCCATAATGCAACTTCAAATTCTTTAGGTTCGCTTATTCACCAAAATCAATCATTTGAAGTTCACCTTGATCGTGTTTCATCCATAGAATACCTGCTTGTTTTAGATGTTGAGATCTCAGCTCAGATTATAAAGGTATGCTTTATGCTAACTTGATTAGCCATTATATGCTATGCGGTTCACAAACCATAGTTTTTCTACTGATTTGATCTATATTAAGTCGGACAGGATGGAGACGATGCCGGGCTCGGCACAGGTGGCTCATAAACAAGCTGGATATCGTTTTTGGGATGAAAAGGAAGAAGGATATCGTTTTTACGAGTTGTAAACACAAGTAGGATTAGGTTTTTATAGTCGACGTTTCGATTTTTCAAGGTTTTCTATTCAATTCGGATAAGGGTAAAAAAGTACTCGCAGAATTTTGTGGAAGTCAGAGGAGACTTCGTTTTTCATTTTCGGAAAGCCACCTCGTGCCGAGCCTTGAGACGATGCCGTCAGTCAATGGCATGGCATGTTTCTAAAATTACAAAATCCTTCAAAATATTTAGAGTCTCGAAAATGGCCGTACGTTTGTGTATGTATACTTTCTATATGCATGATATAAAGAGATTCTATTGTAGTTGTAGCAAGCCGAACTTTGCGTATGCCGCGTATGCCTTCAGGCCAAGAACAGTGTTACATTCACTCTTCGTACCTTGACGCTAACGTTAACCGCTTTGATTTGCTGGTACTTTTTTTAAATTTTCGGATGGGTCTCCTGCTTGTGAGGATCTTCTTTCTTGTCAAATGTCCCTATGCTTTCCGCCAAGGCTTAGCTTGCGATGTGACTTTCCTCCATATGTTATATGCCCACAACATCGTAACCTGTTTTCTTTCAATTCCTGGGCAATTTCTGCTACTTTCATTGGGCTTGTACAATGGCAGATGTAGTCTTTCAACATCGTTGTTTTCATGACAATGAACATACACTCCTCATTACGCGTAAACCTTCAGCACTGTCATACAGTTTGACCCATTCCTAACCAGGCCAAAACTGGCATGGCGAGAGTCCGCGCCGCTAGGGTTTCGCGGTCACGCACACGGCCTGCTTCTCTGCTCTCTCTTCAATCTTCTTACTCTCTCCGACAGCGCGCATATGCAGCGCAGACGCTAGTGCTGCGAGCGCGCAAATTCACGCCGGCCGTTCGGCCTGATCCCGATTGGAGCAAACTCTACGGTGCTGGCGATGCAGTTGGGGCCTGAGTCGCACTGACAATTTTTCGTAGCACAAAACTCCTCTCAATGCTCTCAGTTTCATCCACTCTCAGTTTATCCTGCCTTTGAACTTCTTTTGTAGACCTCTTTCCGCTGACATTTACTGCTTGGGTACTTGCATAACATTGCCTGTCACCATGAATGTTTATGATACCTGAAGTTTGTTCATTTCCGTATTCTACCTTTTTTCGCTGAACTTTGAATTATAAATCAGGCCTGTTTTTTTAGTTTTTTACCAAAATCCCTTTACTACACTCAAATCCACATTATCCGAGTAGAAAAGCCAAGGAGGTTTACCTTTGATGGTTTTATCACGGCATTTATTAAACTGATGAGGAAAGCGAGATATTAGGTTGATGCATAATTCCTGCACCAAAATAGGTAAAGACCGCAATAACTCGGAATAATCCTATATCCCAAGTAGGATTCGATATATCATTTGATAGCGCAAACCTAGCTCTACAAGATACTGCTCAAATATCTACACCAGCTTTGATCCACGCGAAGTTTTGAGCCAAAAACTGAAAAAAACCATGCGTCCGAAAACCTTAAAACAGATCTTAAAAAAATTGTAACATCGTTCAAAAAGCTCATACAAATTTTCTTTCTTGCTCACGCGTAGACGTTCCACGTAAGACATTTATCTATGCGGTTGCTGTATTTTTTTCTCAACTAGGCGATGAAAAAACGAAGTTTTTAAAAGTTTTTCATGTTTTTGCCAAATTAGTGCTGAGATGTTCTAGTATTAACAGTTGTACAGTACAAGCCGTTAGCAGTGAAACTTTACATTTTCAGCCTTCTAGAACAGCTGATTCACGAGAAATAACGAATCTAGCTCTCCTTATCCAAATTTTTCTTGCCTAGTTACTAAAAATTCGATATTTCTCGTAATCCAGCTGCTCTAAAGAGCTGAAAATTCACATTCACGCTTCTAAGGTTCTATACTATACAACTGTCAGTGCTAGAACATCTCAGCATTGTTTTGGAAAAAACATGAAAAACTTCGTTTTCTCATCGTCTAGTAGAGAAAAAAATACAGCAACCGCATAGATAAATGTCTTACATGGAACGTCTACGCGTGAGCAAGGAAGAAAATTTGTATGAGCTTTTTGAACGAAGTTACAAATTTTTTAAGATCTGTCTCAAGGTTTTCGGACGCATGGTTTTTTCAGTTTTTGCCTCAAAACTTCGCGTGGATCAAAGCTGGTCTAGATATTTGGGCACTACCTTGTAGAGCTAGGTTTGCGCTATCAAATGATATATCGAATCCTACTTGGGATATAGGGTTATTCCGAGTTATTGCGGTCTGTACCTATTTTGGTGCAGGAATTATGCATCAACCTAATAGAATCAAATTTTGACTCCAACCTTACAAGGGAACCGTGTCGAGTCGAAGTGGCCTTTCCAGATGAGACCCATACCGCTTTGAAGAGTATTAAGCGGTGATTCCAAATCTGCCTTCCAAATCTGCCAAGCGCCTTTGAACGCCGAATTATGACCGTTCTTCGGAACGAAAAATAAATGCAGAACTTAGGTAAAATTAATTGTTACAATCTTTCCAGAGTTCAGATAAAGCAATGTTAAGTATTAGCATGTTAAATAAAATGTATCCATTGCGTAAACAGCTCTGATACTTGACACTGGACCATCTGAGCACATTTGGGCGATTTTGCTTCAGTTTTGCGTTCGATTTTTTGACCTGAAAAACGAGCATAACTCGGCGTCCAGAGGCGCTTGGCAGATTTGGAAAGCAGACTTGGAATCACCGATTAATGCTCTTCAAAGCAGTATGGGTCTCATCTGGAAAGGCCACTTCGACTCGACACCGTTTCCTTGTTAGTTTAGAACTCTTTTGATTGCCGTGTAACTGTTTGTACGTGACTCAAAGCTTTGTGGTATATTTCATCGTCTAACACCATGGGTTTCCGTAAAGCCCGCCATATAACATCCGAGGCACCCTATCAAAAACGTTCATCAGGTTCAAAAAATCTGTATGCAATTTATTCTGCTTCTTTCTGCATTCCTCTACCACTATCAAACCGAAATGGATGGTTTTCCTGCAACTGGCCAAATATCTCCTCCGTGGCTGTTGGTATTGACCCTTCCATAACGTCAACTTCTTATAGTTGACGGTGCGGCTTGTGGTGGCTACTACTTCGAAGCAGATGATGTACTTCTGTTTTTTAACGTTTTCAATTTTGTATTTGATATGAAGTAAGTACTCAACATCTTTTGTAAACTAAACTCTTTCTTGCTGTCAGGAATATTTCACGCTCTGCCTTGCGAGAGATGAAAGGGAAAATACAAGTAATGGCATTATACGAAGAACGATTGTCAGACGTATCAGCAAGCAAAACACATTGCTATATCTTCTTTACGGAAGTCTTCGCAACGTGCTTTGCTCGCTGCTACGTCTGACAATCATCCTTCGTATAATGCCATTACTTGTACGTTCCCTTTTGTTCCTTAATGACTTTTGGCATCTAACATTCAACCAAGATGTTTTTCGATTGATCCTTCTTTTTCCTACTTTGTGGCTTGTACTTGTACTGTCACTAAGGCAGGTGCTAGACTTATCCGCTCCAGCCAGTTCGTTCGGTTCATAGGTCAAATCACTACACTGTTTAAAAGCAAAGGTGGTGAACCGAATGAACCTGTTCAACAGGATAAGTCTAGCACTTACCTGAGTTGTCGGACGCACATCTGACGTGCGCGGCACAATGGTCGTACGCACGTCCGACTCTCGCGATTCTGCAGGCCCCTATACTGAGGTCAAGAAATAGTAGTCTGTGTTGGAGTATACATTTTTTTGACACAGGCAATAGGTTAGGCTAAGACTTTAAGAAACTGTAGATGAAATCAACTTCACATATAAGCGTATTACTGTAGCCGTATTCATCAGATAGCTTGAAGTAAAATATACCTTGAATGCGCATACACGTATCTACAAGGTAAGCTCATCAAATTCTAATGAGCAATAGAGTAGCTCAAATTAAGTTGTCAGTTCAAATCGCTGTATTATGCCTCCAGCAACGTTTGAATCAGATTTTAGCGAACTTAGCTTAAACTTACATAAAATGTTCTTTTCGACGTTTGTACGTTTTCGGTCGGTTAACGTTCAAATAATAAACTGCACTTTGATCTTTTGCAAAGAAAGCAAGCCACCAGCCAAATGTTGAAACGGGTGCAGAGATCAAAAAAGATTGACACATCTGGGATGACAAATACAGGTCCATAACCTCTTGATAATTCGAAACAATCACAGCCTAAATAGCATATGCCGCTCATACTAACAATTACCATAGAACGGTCAGTTTACTCACATCGTTCTTCCATCCACCATCTCTTATAATAACTTGTGACATATTGATCATGACTTGCTGATCATCTCCAAAAAGTAAAAAATGCGACATATTCTAAAAAAAAGTATAGCGACGGTTTTGCCGTTTGTTTTCACCTTCTTCTTAGCTAGTGCATTGACAGCTGTGACAGTTTTGTTCACGTCAGTGTGCCATTTATGTTTAATAAAGTCCGTCGTTCGGACGTGTACGCACATTGAGTCAGAATGACTAAATAGGCAATTTATTCAAAGACGCGAAATGCAAAGTCTTTCTTTCACCTCTGCAAAGAGTGTGTTATGATGCTTCCATTCGATTTTATCTCTTCTGAGAACTGCAGAATAGCACGCACATCAATAGCATATTCCTCAAAATACCTGACATTTTGGGCACCAACAAAATCCAGCAACAAAAATTGGTCGGTAAAGTTTTTAAGGCTTAACATCAGTTCTGTCAGCTTAGGATAAGAGCATCCATGTTAAAGATACAAACCTTGATGGGTCAGCATAAGCATCAAATCTTCTCGCAAATTTTACTACTCTTTGCTTGGTTCCATTCTGAAATTGCCAATTTTGAAGTAATTACTTTGATTTATCGCAAATTTCTATACTTTGTATTCTACAGCGAGACAGTCACGGAACCAGTACATTCATTCAAATCGTTAAGGACAACGTACCTTCGCAAGGACATAGGTTCTGTTCAAAAGAGGAAAAACTCTTTCTAAGTAAGTTAGGTACTTCTCGACGTATGCTCTATCCCGTTCGAATGGCAAGTAATGTATCCTGTTGATGGTCCTGGCAATGCCATATCCAGAAAACAGATGGAACAGCTCAAAAATTGCATACTTTTGGATATGAATAGATCTAAGGTTACTAGAAGCGCAAAAAATTTCGAAATTTTTCTCTATGAAAAAAGGGGAGGAAAGCAAAAGCCCTAGCACACAAAAATTTGGGAAGCTCTTCTATTTTTCTCAATTGTAACGCTATCTTGATTTCTGCAAACTGTATTATTTTAAAAATTAGCAAAATAAGAAAATAAGAAAGATTAGTCTATCTACGTTCTGTGACTCATGTAAACTTTCAGAGCCTTTGAAATTATGTTTGAAGAGAAACTTCAGATTCATAAGTGATTTGAAAGTGGTTCTCAATCACAAAGTATATTTATTTCATACCTCTTTCTCGCCATCAGGTAAAATACGCACGCAATCCTCTACTATATAAATCCTACTGCTGTAAGTCTAGAAGAAGGATATTCGCCGAGAACTGGCAGACACAATCGTACGCTAATTCTTACATATACAGGGTGTCCCAAAAAAATGTATCGGACCTTTGATCGTTAATATCTCTCTTCCCAAGAAGTCTCTTGCCTTGCTTCACGTACCGTTTTGTAGAGCTGGCTTCAACTTAGATTTGCCTTATAGAACGAATCGCCCATCCCTTTTCATTACTGTAGGATTACGATAGAAACTTGAAACATGTGGTTTCAATGTGGAAAAAGCTGCCGTTTCAAAAAATTTCAAAAAATTGTGAAAACTCGTGTAATATGGTTTTTATGGACGCTGAGTTCAATACTCAAAAATTCACAAGATAACGAAGCTTTCTAAACGGTGTAATCGCACTTTTTAGGAACATTGAAAAAATGGTCGCTACCTCTTACCTGGCATAACTCTTCAATGAAGCATCATAATAAGTTGGGAACTTTACAGTTATAATCAGCAACTCTAAATAGCCTAGTACTAAAGCTTTCAGGCTGTTTTGTTTCCTTTCTAAGGCAAAATATAGCCTTTCATTGCTTAAAACCCTCTTTGAAGTTTCTACCGTAATCCTACAGTAATGAAGAGAAATGAGTGATTCGTTCTATAATGCAAATCTAAGTTGGAGCCAGCTCTACAGATTGGTACCTGAAGCAAGGGAAAAGACTTCTTCAGAAGAGAGATATTAACGATCAAACGTTCGATACATTTTTTTGGGACACCCTGTAGTTATATACTCTACATACCTTCATAAGTAGACACATAAAAATCTACAATTCATCGAAAAATTCACACCTGATCAAAATCTTAAAAGAGGCCTCATTGATTTTAACCATGTTTCTTGGCCTCTAAAATAACTTCAAAAATTTCAGCGCAATCATGTTTCACTACGTGTCTGCTACATAATAACCAAGGAGAGGCTTTTTGACGAGGATCCTATCAAAGTTTTGGTTTTTGAATAATTTCTAGATTCGTCATCTAGAATTACAAGCGAGCCTGCCAGTTCTCTTGTACGCAGATAATCGCCGGGGGCAGGCGACCATGCGATTTATGAGCAGGCGGGCACAGAAAAAATAGTTAGCTGATTTCTTGCGTCCGCTTGCTGATATTTGGAAGAATTTTGGCGGAATTTTGGATGAATGCTAGGAGACCAATTACGGCTTTTTTATAAATTAGTTGCGGCGCAATGGCCGCATTTTCGCGCACTTTGCGCTAGAATATGCAGGAATGTTGAGGCTGTCCAAATTCCGTGTTGCTGCCCGTTGGCGGAACGGCAGAAAAGAAAGTACCGCTTGCTGAAGGTTTGGCCACGCCCCAAAATTCTGCGGACCGCCTGCCCCGACGATTATCTAAGTGCTATCGCCTTGCTCTATTGAATTCTAAACTCCCCATCTATTTATTAGTTTGGGAACTAAGTTTTGCAGTTTACTAACAATAAGTAAGCATCCTCTCTTTGGAATAAGGCACTCAAATTTTGCCAATACGTAGATTACGACGTAAGCCACAAGCACAACTGCTGTTCCGCCAAATTCTGACGTTGCGGTGAGAGGTCGAGCTCATGTAGAGGTGGTGGTGTATGTTATATGGTCAAGCAAGATTTTGCAGATGAGAGAATATGCGTTGCCAACGATTATAAGTAAAAATTCTTTGCTTTAGTATCTGGATGCCATCTTCCCTGTTTCCCTTGCGATTCATTATGACATATCGTTCCGCTACCTGTTCTTAAAATAATCTTGCTTTGTCGAGTGTTTTTCAAGACTTTTGTACAATTCTATTACCGAACCATCGTTTTGGATGACTTTAACATTGACTTCCTCTCCTCTCACGCCAACCATAACCTCATCTCTGTTATGCATGTTTGTAAACTTCAACAATACGTGAACTTCCTTACCAAAATGGTTGCTGTCTTCCCACCTTTTGGCAATTCAGACCATAATGTAGTTGAGTTTGAAATCAAATTCAGCGCGAGTAAGAACAGTTTTGTTCCATGCCCAGATTTTCGAAAAGCAAACTTGCGAAGATAAGCAAAGCTCTCGAACATCGACTGGTTCAGCCTTCTTGACAACTATGATACTGTCGAAGATCTTTACCAACGCTTTTGCAAGACCTTATATCTACTCTTTTTTAAGCATGTACCTTTTCGCTTTTCGCCATTTCAACAACAAGACTGTCCTATGCATATACAGAACTTTAAGAGCAGAATTTTCCAGGTTATTTTCGCTTCTATACGATACTCTACACGATGTCTTGTAAGATAGTCCGCGAGGACGTAAACCACCATATCAAGAGATACTTGGCAGTTCATAAAAGACGTCTTTTTAGATGCAATTTCAAAGCGCTGTACGGTTATCCAAAGGACAGCAGATAATCCATGAGTTAGTTGACGACCAAGGCCATCTATTTCTAAGCGAAATGGATAAAGCTGAAGCGTTAGGAAATTACCTCACTTTTTTCTTTAGTGATGACACTTATGACACCCGTACCAATAAGAGTTTTCTTGTCCTATTGCAGTTCAAGTATCTTCTTGCTGCCCCGAGATAGACATCGAACCTATGGAGGTTCAGCGGATCTTAGTAAAGTTTAAAGCTACAACGACTATAGCGTATGATGGAATACCCATATTGTATTTCGTAAATATGCGCGTGCCTAGACTTACCCTTTGGCTTTCATTTTCAGTGCGTCTTTGCTGATGCAAGGGGTACCAAAGGGAAGAATGCTTTGGTGACAGCTATACTCAAGCGCGAACAAAGCAATGCATTATCCAATTTTCGTCTAATCAGTATCACTGCTCCAGCCGATAAGATACTAGAAAAGTTTTTGAAAGAGATTCTATTCGATTGGTTGGAACGAAGCAACATTCTTCCGCCGAGTCAGAATGGATTCCTCTCTGGGGAGTGGGCTCTACCACTGCATTACTCGCTGACTCACTTTTTAACTAGGTTAGTGCGGTGAATCAAGGTAAATGAGTGGACATAGTTTCCTTCGATCTTTCTAAAGCATTCGATCGAATGATACATCAAGTGATACCAAGCTACTTTTCAAACTGAAAGGTTATGGAATTCGTGGGCAAATGCTTTCCTGGGTGGCGTCTTACCTACAAAATTGGGAATGACCGTTCGCGTTGGGACTAGCTTCTCCAAACGTTTCCATTGCAAGAGTGGGGTATCTCAGGGTGGCATATCGCTTTTACTTTTTCTCGTTCACACAACGGATTTGGCATCTTTTTTGAAAACACATCTAAACATTTGATTACAAGTTTCTTTTTGATTACAAGTTTTTGCCAATGACACAAAAATCTATTTTTGCTACACGGATTCTCTACAAAATGTAGCATATCAAACGGTCTCATCTTCATGCTTCTCTAGTCAGAGGAATGGAATCTTCCATTCAATGCTCTTAAATCTAAGGTGTGCATCTAGGAAGCTCTGATAGTTGCACTTACGTTTGCGACGGTGTAAATCTTGAACACTGTAGTTACATAAAGGATATGGGCTTGTTTGTTGATGATCAATCAAAATTTTCGTTTCACTATGATACAGTCACCAAAAAGCGCTTTCCGATCTGTCTATCATACTTAGGAGCATTCACTGTAATTACGCAAAGATCTCGATCAAAAATCTATAAAACTTTTGTTTTGCCTCGTGCCAAATGCCTTTATGTTATTCGTTTGCCGCACAGCAAGTTGGCTTCGCCTGTTGGCGAGCGAAAAATTCTTTTGCAAAGAATTTTGAAGAATTTTGCAGAAAACTGCGTCTGTAAACGTTTTGCAGAATTTGATTACTGGTGACTATTGATGATTCGTTGACAGTTCCTTGTTTTGCCGAGTGTTAATAATAACTTGCTATGCCGAAATTCGTTAGTAATCGCTAGTTTTCTGCTGGAAACTTTTGGGCTAATTTCTTTACCATGACAGCAAAGTTCTCTCGTTTTGACCGTAATGGTCAATGAAGCCACTGAAAATTCGTGGAATTCGCTTCCATGCGCGTTGTGTGACTTATTCGCTTGCGTTTGCAGCAAATTTGTGGTTGCCCTCGCGCTTGGTGGTCGATGCCCCACGTTATCACCTCGTGTGATCTTTCGAACGCATATACGTGGTTGGTTCTGTCGCCGCTATATGCTCAGTTGGGAGATTAAGCCATGCATGTCAGACGCATTTCCAAAAAGTAGTCTTGATGATTTTGAAGGAATTTTGATGATACTTACTGGCATTTTGCATAAGGACTCACAATTTTCACAGTTTACTATCTTTTGAAGGGTTTGGAAAAGTTCTCTTAGCATGAAATAGCCTTTCGAGGATATCGAAGACTAGTGAGCGCTCTACCTAAACGTCCCCCCTTTTCGTTCGCCCAGGGTCCGTGAAACGGATTCCTCCGCCCCGGGTTAAGTTGGTCAGCCGAGCCTGGTGATTTCTGGTCTTATAATGCGTTCGGGTAAGGGAAAAGGAAATCGGCAGAGCCCCACTCACTTTTTGAAGAAGGAGAACGACCTGATTAATCCATCAAAATACAAAGTGATCCGATCACACTTTCTGTGTTCTGTGTTGTATTTTTCTTTCTTTTTTTCCTGTTTCGGTGTTT